GTTGGCAAAGCATTCTGGTAGTTGTAGTAAATGACATCATAATGCAAATCGGCTATTTTCTCCTGTCATTACAAAAAGATTTGCACATTATAATTCTACAGTTATATTGTGGAATTGAAACAGTAGCTTCTGTATGCCTTCTTTATAAGAATTAAAAAAAAAAAAAAAAAAGAACTAAAAAGAATATGACAACTGGCATTAAAAGAGTTTTACGAAGTCATTCTTCAAGTTCTCGTCAGCAATTCCCCTTCCTTCACTTTCGATTTAAGCGATAAATAATTATGACAGGTTCCTAATAAGGTGGCAGTATAGTGCAAGTAATGAAAACTTCAAAGAGTACTAAGCAAATAGTGATACAATAATATAATCGCTGTCTAAAGTACCTTCAGTTGTGACTGGTTTTGAAGGCTGCAGGTTTAGTTGGTCCAGCTTGTGCTCTACATTTTCAACTTTTTCTAGCACTCTCTTTTCTGATTCCTTCACTTCATGGATTACTCTATCAGCCTCATCAGTGATCCATTCTTTTAAGCATTTGATGTAGTAGTCTTCATCTTCTGGTTCGAAGGATTGTGTCTTAAGACTATCAATGTCTGCCTTGTTTACACCATGTCTTAATAAAACAGTTTCAATGTCGTTCCAGTACTTGTTGAAATCAGCGTCTGATAGAGCTGGTTCAGAGATGTGACCATAGAGATTATTACGGTACAATCTCAGCCTTACTACATCGTCTTCCACGTTAATACTTGTTGCTGCAGGCTCCTTGTCCCATCCATTGGCAGGTGTTGGCAAATTGCAGATATTGCGCAACAGTAAACTTAAAAGAGTTATGTCAAAACCTGTAGATGTTGCCGATCCTACACTTGGATACAGTCTGTTCCACTGCTCTGGTCGTAGAAGTTTTTTAGCCTTCAAATTCTTTAAGATATTATGAATCCTGCTGTCCATCAAATGTTTCTTTAGATCGTGAGGTGGATGTTTGGAATCAAMAATTTTTCTAAGGACATGAGTTCCTCCATCGATGAGTAATTTACACAATCGAGCAAAGTTGGTGTTTTCTTTTGCAATTTTTGACCATCTAGAGTCCATCTTGATTTTCCTGTAAAAATGATAAACAAATAAAAAATACGAAAGAAAAAGAAAAGCATAAAAGAAAACCTGAATAAGCATCATAGAATTAAAAGCTTACAGAATGCAAAACATCTTTAGATAATTTTGCTTTGAATTTACCGACATTAATCTTACAAGTCCGGTGATCAACGCGATCGCTCAACTATACAGTTTCTAGACATTATATTACTTTGACACTCTAGTATATTGGTATTAAGTGTGATGAACGATTGTTAGAAAACTTGTATTTGTTTGATAAAAGAATTCAGTCCCTTCACACTAGCAGTGAGTCCACTTTAAACAACCCACGAAGCAGATATTCAAAAGTACAATAAAACATTATTTGCATGCCTTACCTTTCAAAAGAAAGTTTGATTTCTTGATCTAAAGCTAAAGTATTATTTAGGTGTGTTTCATCTTCTCTGTTCTTCTGTTTGACTGACTTCTGTATGGGTTTGACGTGGTATAGATGCTGCGACAGACACTCCTACAAACCAAACCCACCAATAGAAACAGCTATTTTTTTGTCGCTAGGTTGTCGCAAAAATAGAAACTTTACCTTCACTGACTTCGATGTTCAATAACATCGCAAAACCAAACCAAATTTGGAGTTGTTTGTGCACAGCGTAATGGACCATAACATTCTACGAAATACTGTTTTGAATGTTCAAAGAACTACCTCAAAAGAAAAGAAACACTTTTTTCGCTAACATTCAAAGTCATTTTTGCAATTTTCTTGTGATATTCAGAAGAAWCTGAGATTGTTTGCAGTCGTTCTGATGCATATCCAATAATATGCACCAGTGACTGCACAGCKGGCCATTAGATCACAAGCGAATGTTCATCTTTTTTTKKTYMAAWWAWAT